TTTCCCCCGCTCCGTAGAAAAAAATAATTGTAAAAAAAATTTTTTTTAATTGTGCGCAAAAAATTTTTGGGGAAACAAAATCTTCTGGGAAAAAGTTAAAAAAAGGGCAAGAGGGGGGGTTTTTGTGCCCCCTGTAAAAAAACCGGGGGGAAAAAATTTGGGGCTTTTTTTTTTTTAATGGGGGGCCCCCCCCCCCCCCCCCCGGGATTATTTACGACACGCCAGACAAGCAAACGCATTCACAGCAATGTTATCCGTCTCGGATCGGATTCAAATCCCTTCCAAAACGACTCATAAAGACAAAGGAACAAAGGTAAATGCATTTCATTATTTTATTAGCAAATACAGCGTTCGGGTTTCCTGTGACCTACAAGAGAAGAAGCCCTGATCGCATCTTATGTGTGTGCATGATCCCGAGAAACGGTCCCGTCCCGCGAGTGTCCTCCAACAGTTGTGTCATCTGAGAAGCCCTGGGCACAAGCTGCCCGAACAAAAAATTTCTGAAAGTGTCCACAACGGCGTTGTTTGGTTATGTAACTCGCTTCTGTTCGTCTTATTCACGTATTATGGCTCCCAAAAAACGATCTTTGCCTCCGGCAAGCGAAGGGCCATCAAAGAAAAAGCAAAAAACTAAGGATAAACTCAAAGAAAGCCAGGGGGAGACGTCAAAAGCGACATCGACGAAGAAAGCGTCGCCTGCTGATAGCCCTAAACGCGACAAACATGGCAAGCTGATATTTCCCGATTTTCCAGATTTCAAACCAAATCTGACTCCGAAAGAAGTACTTCAAGCTGGAAGCTTTGGAGGAACGTACTTTAGACCTATTTATTCAAGCGTCACAGGTAGACTACCAAAGTAAATTTCATTGGTCACAGGTCACTTCGTCATTTAGTTATCTACATTTCACATATAGCCACAGCTACAGTAATCGGCAGGTGGACATGTTGTGAGTGAATATTCCGTCTCAGTTTAAACCACAGGAAACTTGAAAATTGTGAATCAAACTAAGTTGAACACTGGTTTAATCTGAGAACATATTTTACCACCAACATATATATATTTCCCGAATACCAAGACTTTACTATTAAAACAATCAAATATATTTCTTAAGTACTAAGACACTTGTTACATCAAGGGAGGCTTAAACCAAGTTCCCAACAAAGCAAATAGCCTGAGAAAACAGCCAACACCTTACGACGCAGCCACTGATTTCCTAGCCTGCAGACACAGACATATTTCCGGTTTTCGCTTCTCTCCATGCGAAATTACATCTGTGTCCGCAGGCTACTGGTTTCCCCACAAAATCAAATGACGTCCTGAGGAACAAGCCCACAAATTCCTTACTGATTTTCCAGCCCTTGTAGACAAGTTGGGTAATTCTGTTACCTGCAGCACCATAGACTCTATGTCAGCTGTTTCCTAATAGGCTACCTTCCAGGTCGATTCAGTCTGGTTTAGTCAATTTTACACCCAGGGCTCAGATTAGACAAGCTTTCCTCCCATTTTGCTTGCCCAGGGCCATTGCTTGCTTGTCTTATGACATGCATGGAACCTTGCCCGTTGGGCAAGTGAGGTTAAATATTTACTTGCCCAACAAGGTAATCTACTTGTTCCAGATGACACTGGACTGGACTCTTGTCAATTCCTGGCCTCAATGAACTCTTCTATTATATATCTTATTTTTCTATCTTATCTAGGACCGTTATGAATGAAAAACTGGTACTACTTTGGAACTTCTTCTTGCCTCTGTTTACCTCAAACCAGTTTCAGTCTGAATTGACTCGTTTCTGTAGTCTTTTTCTTCTCTGTACATTGTGCCTCGTTTGAAAAGTTTCGCTTTCTGAATGTATCGCTGTTTAGGCAACATTCATTCCAACTTAACAATGGATAATATTGTGCTAGGTTGTAACTTGATTGCATGATGCTTTGATTGGTCGAGTTCAAATTCCATTCTAGTCTACCCTTTAAAACAAAGGGGATTCTCACTATCAACTGAAATGTTTAACTGCAATCAAATCATGTCACAAATAACTCCTTTGTGCCCTGTGATTTTGATAATTTTGGTGCTCTTGCACTTTATTATATTTGGGGGCAGCACTGATTAACTTTTTTACCTCATATGATGCTTATTCAAGAAAATGTGGTATTTAATATTTGTACTGTTTTTAACTCAATTCACAGGCCAAAAGTATTCTTCTGAGGTGTACAAGGAATTTCCCTCTGACTGGTTTAAGGGACTGAACATCAAAACGCAAATTACTTCATCATTGTATCGCAATGAAGTCAATACATACAAAGTCAAATGTGGAGGAAGCTTGGAAATGTGGGAATCATCTGGCTGGATTCATAAACAAGATCCATATGGCTGGTTTCACTGGTAAGTAGGAGCAGGGTTGGTTTAAATTCGTTTGAGCATATAAAAGAAAGAAAGCAAATTTTAACAAGATGGGGTGATACTGTTTAGGGCGGGGGAGGGGGGGGGGGCTGCACAAGTAACTCATCACAGGAAAACCAGCCACATCTATGATGCGCCAAACTGGCCAGAAAAATAGGG